AATAAAAATAAACAAATCCCTAAAATAATATATATTACAAAAATTTACCTAAAAAAATAAAATGTTCAAAGAATGATAAAATAAATAAAGGAAAAAACCAAGAAAAAAAATCAAAACATTTATTAATTAATGTAAACTTAATTGTAAACGAAAAGTAAAAAAAAAAATTATCACAGCTCTAATAATCTTTATCATTCCTTCCCCTGAATAATTAGGCTAATACAAGGGCGAATCTCTTGTGAGGGAAAGGTTCCCCCCCCCCTCAGATTTTTTATTTATTTTTTTAGAAATTGATGTTTAAAAACGTAAGTAACTTAGGCTGTTTAAAAGTGCCATGAAATTCAATAAAATTTTGTGGTGCAAGTTTAAAATTTTATTAAAAATTAATAGGATACAGGCTGCGACAAATCGACAAATGTGCACGCATTTCGTAAAAGACAGACAGAAAAACAAACATCACGTTTCTTTAATTTTGCTTATGCAAACGTTGCCGTTTGATTAGGATTTTTCAAAATGAACGTATCACTTCAGCAATTTTTTTCAAAATAATTTTGTGATTATTAGTTTTTATTTATTATAAAAAACACATATTTAATATGAAAAACAATTAATTTCACAGACTTAAACTAATGCCAAAACATAATTACTTTTTTCGATAGCATCACTTTTAAGTAAAATAACTAAATACGCTATAGAAAAAGTAATTATGTTGTAGCATGGTTTTTGCATGCGCTCACAAAGGCATACATAATTTTACTTAAAATGAATGCTTTTGCAAAAATTTCAAAAGAAACCATGCTCAAACATTTTGATTGCTTTCTTTTATTGAGAAAAGCGACATAACATTTAACGATAATTTCTTTTATGCTTTTAGCAATTACATTAAAAGTTTAAAGCAAATGTATTCATTACAAATAAAGTTTAGCATGCTTTTTTTTAGATTTTTTTATTTTCCATAAAGTGAAATAATATTTGTTTGCATATTAAAACTTTTGCACTTTTAAAATGTTTTTTTATTGTGCATTTATTATTAATTTGCGCGCACTTTGCAAATGTGTAAAAAAAAGGTTTTTGAAAAATAAAAATTGAATTAATTTACCAAGCATCTTTGTAAATAATTTCTTAATTAGAAATTATATTTCAATGATAAAATGGGTTTGTAATTATTCTTTGATAGTACTCATTCAGCCTTAAACTCTAATCTGAATATTTACTTTAGTACTCAGGAAATTTTGTGGGAGTTTAATTGTAATTATGGAATCAATTAAATTAAAAAATCTCTTCTTTTTTTTTTTAACGCATTTTTTAAACATGCTAATTATCAAAACTTGCAAAGAGCCGTGGTCAAGTTGTTAAAACAAAAAACTATATGCGTGGTCATATAAGGCGTACGATCGCATGCCTCTTACGAGAAGACCTGTATACACAAATATTTAATAATTAATACAAAGACACATATCATTTGTAGTTATTAAGAATAATAAGTAAAATTCATTCGAATAAATTTAAAAAGTTTTTTTCTAATTATTATTCTGCAAAATTAAAAATTATTTTTTTTCCTTTAAATTTAAATGCTTTAAATAATTTTACAATATTTGCATTATTTTTTTGAAAAGAATTCCCATAACTTAGGTCCTCGATATGCTATTGAATATTCTCTATATTGCCTCGGCAGTTTGAAGAAATTTGATTGATTTGTTTTTTTTTGCTATTTATAATATATTATATATATATATATATATATATATATATATATATATATATATATATATATATATATATATATATATATATATATATATATATATATATATATATATATATATATATATATATATATATATATATATATATATATATATAGCATTGGTATTATATTAAGAACCACATATATATTTTTTTTAAATATATATGTTTCAACTGAATTTTTAAAAAATAATAAATTAAGAGAATTAATTTTTTAATCTGAAAAAAGATTTAAAAAAGAAAAAAGAAATACTTTCAAACAATATATAATTTACTAAGAAACTCTTATTTTGAAAACAAAATTTAATTAATGTAAACATATGTAAAAACATAGCAAAAAAAAAAAAGCAAAAAAGTTCAACACCAATATTTTCAGACTTTAATTGCTCAATGACATGGGTTATTATCTTGAAGGAAGATGAAGTCTTTGCAAGGTTTACCAAGAATATCTAATGAAGGAAGTAGATAATCACCAAGAATTTTTATATATCTTTCAGAGTTTAGTCTACTGTCAAATAAGTGAAAAACGTCAATGGCATCATATTTCATACTAGCCCAAATACCAATGGAACCACTAGCTGGCTTAGTGCATTTCAATACACAGCCGTGTTTGTATTTTTCAGGGGTTTTTCAAAGCAACATTACTCAACCTTTACGATTATCAACCTCAATATGCATTTTATCACTAAAGACTAATTGATGCCACCAATTTAATGGTTTTTGAATTTTGTCTTTAGCAATTACCAAACAGGAGTTAATATGCTTTATCCAAATTTCCAAATGCATAACTTGTAACTTGCTTTGGTCTACCTTTTTTTTTTTGCGCTCAGCTAACAACACTAGAATGATCAACTCCAATTTGCTTAACTGTTGCTCTGAACTTAAGTTACAGTTGATTGGCTTTTTGCTAATCATTTTAATTCAATCATTAAAAACACTACCCTTCCACAAGACGTAGCAGATAGTCCTCAACAATGTTGCGACAATAAGAAAATGTTTCTCAACATAGCCAAATGCAAAGTTAGTTATATTGGTCATAATGCCAAGGCAGTCATATCATTAAAAGGAAAATTCTTGAAATTGTAAACTCAAACAAATACCTTGGCATCTCACTGAGCATCAAATTTGGCAAACCGTATACTAACTTATATAATAAAATTGCCCAAAGTCAATATCTCTTTAATCAACTCTAAATATTTGGTGGATAATATCATCCTATGCTTATATCTGCTTACTGCGCTCATTGCCTTAGACAATTTACCTACAATACATTTGTCCTCACTTCCACATCCAATAAGACTATATCTAAGATGTAAGTTTTTCAAAATATACCATGGTTATCATGGATACCATGGTTAGCATAGCATCTTTCCCATTGATGAACACCTTGATGTTGTATGTCTTTGCACATGAAAAAAAGTGTCATACAAACAAATCTATTTAATTACACTTAGTCTGCATAAGAACTATCATTCATAAAAATCGCTTAATCAATTGTTATAAATACAAATTTAAAAACTAAAATATTTAAGCTTATAAATTTATTATATTTGAAGAAAAAAAAAGGACAACAATTATAATAATAACTGTGATTATGATTGTAAAGAAAATCATTTAAATTTTTTAGACAGAAAAAAAAAATGTTTGAATTATTTTTTTTCAGTTTTATACTTTTCTCAGACATTTTCAAATTAGCTGAAATTTTTACTAAATTATCTATATTATTTATATATTATTTCAATTCAAATACAAACCACAAAAAGTGTAAAATTCAACAGTTGAATAAAAAAATTTTTTTGAAAAGGCTAACATGCAAAAGTTTAGAAACTGAATTTTCTGCGGCAATTAAACCAAGCTTTGTAAACAACAGCAAAATTAAAAGCTCAAATACTTGCAAATTTTAATAATTCACCTACTTTATAGTAAATGACTGGCCCTGGCTAAAAGTTAGACTTTTTGCAAACCCGACCCCAGCAAAATTATACTTTAGCTGGGGTCTCAAGAACAATTCTTTGAAAGAATAAAAATAGTATTAATAAATCTCTTTATAATAATACTGGACTTAATAGTAGTAGTAGTAGTGCGCTTTCGAGCCTGTTTGACACGATACTCTTGGCAACCATTGCATCCGAGGTAGTGAAGAGAAAGAGTCTTACTTTTGCTTTATAAGAAAACGTGAGCAAACGTGAAACTCATATCGTACGTACCTAAACTTCATGTTATGTAATGTTAAAACATGCTTAAACATATATCAAGTTCAACAGTTTGATTTTCACTTAAGAACTGCATTTTGTCAACGTTTGCTTAATTTCTAATCTTTTGTGTTTATATCCATTAAAAACAATTTTTATATAATTTAAAATCACAGTTCTCAACCTGACAGCATAGTAGAGTGGTTAGTGCGCTGGGCTTCTAACCAAGTTAGAAGACGTGGACGTGGTTCAAGTCCTACCATCGGCGACTTTTTTTTATTTTTTTTGCGCATGTGTCATTATTGAAATACTCATGTTATTTTAGTTAAACTTTTCAAGTTTATTTACAACTAAATTGAGCAAGAAAAATTAGTAAAAAACATGTTTATATATAGAACATAAAATCTATAACTTTTGATTTGCATTTTAAACAACAAAACCGCGTGGCAAGCTGATGAACTTGCAACGCGGCGACCTTAACTTTTTTTAAAAATGGTAAGGGGGTTTAAAAAGTATATTTTTATTTAGAGCATAATTAAAAATTTTAATTTTAAATG